CCCCCCCCCCCCCCCGGGGGGGGGCTCTGGCTTCCATGCCTCAGAGGGAACCGGCTGGCTCTATCGGAGACACAGTCTCCCCCCAGGTATCTTATGGGTTGCCAGCTCTTCCCTGCCCATGTGGGGTGAAGAAAGAGGAGAGGCCCACATTCCTGTGGTTAGATGGCCTCTCCCCTTTCCTTCTTCCCAAAGCTGCTGCCTTTGTGCCCCGTGGAGCCCTCTGGCTTTAGCAGCTGAGGAGGCTTTCAGGAGAGCGACAGCGACCTCTGGGTAAGCCTCCAAGGAAGCCCGGAGCTGCCTTGGCTCAGCCCAGCCCCCCTTCTCTGAAGCTCTCCAGCAAGGGGGGGGGGGGTTTTTTCTCCCCCCCCCGTTTCCTTGGGGGGGGGGCAGGCGCAGGACAGGGCCAATTCCGCTCCTCCAACCTACCTCTGGGGTGGAGGAGGCCCTGGGGTTGGGAGGAGCCTCCGCTGGGGCCAGGCCTTGGCCAGAGAGAAGCAAGCAGAAGAAGGGAAATGGGGTTGCCGAGCAGGGCCAAGAAGGAAGGTGACGGGTCCTGCATGGACCCCCTTGGCACCTTCCTCTGGCCCTGGGATCAAGTCCTGCTGCAGCCACGGAGCTCTATCCAGTGCTCAGGGGCCGAAGGGGAGGGGACGCTTGTGGCATCGAGGGGGAGGGGGTTGTTGCCTCCCTCGTGACTGGGCTCCCCCTCCCAAAGTGGCTTGCCTTACTTAATGCGATGATGCCCACGAGAGGGATGGAAAAGCCTTGCACTGCAGGAGGGATAGAGACGAGCAGCCCTGCCTGCGCCCTGGAGGGCAGTGAGGGAAGCCCTCCTCCAGGAGCCTCTTGGCAGAAGCGCTGAGGAGGGGACTGGAGGAAGGAGGAGAGAGCCCAGCTTCTCCCACCCGCCCACCTGCCTATCTTCATCCACTTGTCTTTTGTAATCCTCCAGCCAAGCATCCATACAGGCAACCACCTGCCCATCTCCCCTGGAAACCCTCCCCCTCTTACAAACACACCTCGGGATTAATGTTTGCACAAGGACGAACACCTGCCCTGCAAGTGGGTATCCAGGCGTGCCTGTCTTGTACATACCTCCTCCGTGTGTCCTCATGGCCGGGTCCACACTGGTGCTCCTCCTGCCAATCTGTCCTTCGCCCAACACCCTTTTTTCCTCTAGGGAGCACAAGGCTGACTTTCTGGCGGGAGAAGCCTTTCTTTGGGCACACTGATCGTTGTCAGAGAAAGTGGCATACCTGAGACTTAACGCCATTTTTCCATCGGTATCAGCTGCCTTGGTGCAAATTTGGGTTCTTTGTCTCTTTAGTGCCAGCTTGAAATGAACCTCTGGTGGGCAAAGAAGCAGTGCTTTGAGGAAGGCAGCTGCTGGCATTCTGCCTGCTGGAACTGGATCGGGTGCCCAGGCGCCCCAATGCTGAGGCAAATGGGCAGGGCTGCCCCTCCTCCCTTGCCGTTTCCAAGGTGGCAGAGATGGCAGCCTTTGTCTTCTGTTGTGCTGGCTCTGCTGCACAGGGTGCCAAAGAAGGTAGGGCTGATGGTGGGGGTCCTGTTGGTGCCTGGGTGGGCTTTCAGGAGCCCAGAGAAATCCGAGAGTACCTTCCTGGCCCCTGTGCCCAGGGCTACCTGCTCTGAGTTCTGGGAAGCCCCCTGCTTCATTTGGGTTGGCCTGAATGCAGGATGCCGGGCTCCTCTGCCCAGCCACTCTTGCTATCACATGCAAGTGTGGCGTTGCCACTGACTGGATGGCATTGTGCCAATGAGTTTGCCATCCGCCCGCCCTCTGCGCCTCGCTCCCTCCTTCCCTCTTGCTCCCCTCCTCCTGCCAGCTTGACTGTAATTAGCATGCAGATTAATGGTTTTTTAAAGCTGAAAAATTACAGATGTCTGTCTATCAACCGGTTGGCACCATCCAGTTGATGGGGGAGGGCTGGGAGGACGATGGCCCTGCAGCCCCTTTGGAGAGCGAGGGCTTTTGGGGAGGCACCGAGAGGAAGGGTCCTGAGCCCCCTTCTGCCGCGGAGAGCGAGGCAAGGCGGGGGGTGGGTGGGCAGTTCCTACCTGGGGTCCCTTGATTGGGAAGCAGAGCTGCTGGAAAGGTCTCTGCCAGGGCGGTAGTGCCAGGAAGTTAGCCAACTCTTTCAGGCTTGCTGATTTTTTTATTTTTTTATTTTGTTTGTCAATCGCTTTACAAGATAACAGTTATAAGTACATACTAGTTATGAATACATGAAATGGATACATATAAGAAAAATAAAAAAAACGGTAGGCACGTTGGTGCGCTTATGCACGCCCCCCTACAGACCTCTTAGGAAAGGGGTGAGGTCAGTAGTAGACAGTCTAAGGTTAAAGTTTTTGGGGTTTGGGGAAGAAACCACAGAGTCAGGTAGAGTATTCCAGACATTGACCACTCTGTTGCTGCAGTCGTATTTCCTGCAATCAAATTTGGTGCCGTTTACTTTGAGTTTGTATCTATTGTTTGCTCTTGTGTTGTTATGGTTGAAGCTGAAGTATTCATTGACAGGTAGGACATTGCAATGTATAATATGATGTGTCCTTCAAAAGGCAAAAATGGGTTTACCTTTCATGCTTCCCTTTAATTTCATTTTCTACATTTAAAAAAATGCAAAGCCAACCTCCGCCTACACCAGGCACGGGTGTCTTGAGAGGCGAGCTGCCTGCAGGCCGTTTCACTGCTGGGTGCCGAGGCTGCAGGTCGGAAGGGCCAGTCCAAAGCTTTTTAGCTGGCCGAGCACTTCACTCTCTAGTGGCTCTTCGGGGTCCCTCACCGGCCAGGAGTCGGACCTGTCGGCACAGCGAGCAGAAGGATTCAGCAGGAGGCAGAGCCTGACAGGTCTGGAAAGAGGGCAGCCCACAACCGCCTCCCTCTGGAACTAGCTTTCAAGGGCTGTCCCAAGCACAGCTCGGCCCCAAGGTGCTGCGGGGGTGGGATGCTTTCTGTCAGAAACCCTGCCCCCCTCCCCCCTAATCTCCTGCCCTGCTTGGCAGCCCTTCGCAAATGAAAGACAAAGGATCCCTGGGCCTTTCTTCGGATTGGTAGCTCAGTGCCGAAAATAGCCATTTCCAGCCAAGTAGCAACCTGTGAGAAATCCTTAAGGAATCTCTGATTAGGCTGCTAAATAGGTTAAACCTGACTATTGGCTTCTGATGGAAAGAATGAACTCACCGCTCTGGGGAGGGAGCTCAGCCCCTTTCGGCTGCTCTCTGGCCTTTAACCCTTTCTCCACTGGAACAGCTGGTGGCTGGTCAGCGAAGCCAGAGAGGGTGAGGCCTCGCTGGGGATGCATCTGCAAGCCAAAAAGCTCCTCCTGGCATTGGTTGCCCTTTGGGGACTTGTCCGGTTCCCCTTTTTATAAAGGCCTTTTGAGCAGGTTCTTTAACTTACAGGCAACATTCTCTCTGCTACCCTCTTGTTACCTGGAGCTTCTGCGTGCTTGTTTCTCTACGCGGGGTCCTTGTTTGTCTCAGTCGTGTCCATGCGTTAGCTCTCCTCGAGGCCTACTGAAAAATGCTCACACTGCCTAATCAATGAGTATAGATGTACATATGTACACATCATGCTGTTCCTTTTTTGAGTAAACAGAATTATGCAAAACACATAAGGGCAGAAAGAATCTGGGGCTTCTAATATAAACCTTTTCCTGCCTTTCCTCAGGCTGAAAAACTGGTGCCCAGCCAGAAACGTTGCAAGAGGAGCCCAGATATGGAGATAGAAAGAGCTCATCCGCTGGGACAGAAGCAAGTTGAACTGCATGGGAATTCGGTGGAAGGGCAAACCGTGTGGTCAGGAGACACCTGGCTGCAGGTAAGGCAGCTGCTCTCTACTCCAAAAAGCAGCAGAGAAAAACTCTTTGGTTGCCCAACGTAGGGGAAATTCCTCCCTCCTGCGGGACTGGAAAGCAGAGTCCGTCCTTCCAGCAGAAAGGCTGCCTTGCAGACCAAGCCAACCAGCCCACGGCCAGGGCCCACTGGGGGAGGCTGCCAGGCGTCTCTGCCTTGAATGGAAAGGGGTCTTCCCTTCTTTTGTGCAGCTCTAAAGGCAGTTCACAAGTAACTTTGGAGGCCAGTCTTGCTGCGAGAAAGCAGAGAAGAGAGAAAGCTCTTTGGCAGTGGTTCCCTGCCCTCATTTTTTGTTCTTACCTTACTAGGAGGGCAGCAGTGAGCAAGACCAGGAAAGCAGCTTTGGGACTAGGCAAGAGAGCATGGAGCTGGTTTTTCTGCCCACCTGGCCCGCCCAGCCGGCCACCATGCCGGGAGCACCCTTTCCCCAGGTGGGGCCATTAGAGTCTCTGGGTCTTGGCCTCCTCTCTGACAGGAGAGGCTGCTTCCCCAGCTGATGGGCGGGAGGCAGCTATTTGCAGGATCAGGCCCTCCAGGCAGGTACTCCAGAAGGAGCCTTAGCAGGAGACCCTGTGTGGGCAGGGGGGCTTGGGCACAGAATGCCTGCCATCCCCTTTGCAGGGCAGCACAGAGGAAGCAGCGGCTTGCAAGGGTGGGGCCCCTCCTAGAGCGAAGCTTGCTTGGATGAGAGAGGAAGGCTGCTGGCCTGGGGCCTCGGCTTGTGCTCTCCAGAACCTGAACCTGGCCGTTCCTTTGGAGCAGATGCCTCCAGGCGTTCCCGAGGAGAGGCCTCCATCATTTTCTCTTTCTTCTGTAAATCCCTGGACATACTGACGGTCAATAATTTGTTGTTTCGATTTTGGCCCTGCAGAACTGACAATTCTGCTGCTCTTTTGGAATCCCTGGCCACATTAGTCATCTAGGTCCCGCACTACAACGTCTCCCCAGAAATGGGGTGACTAGAAACACACACACACCCCCGGGAGTACTTCCAGGGTGGTCCCTTCTCAGCTTTCTTGCTGGCGTCCACCTTTGCCACTGAGGAGAGCCCACCTGTCCCAGCCACTCTCTTGCTTGCCTTGGTTTGAGCTCTTTTCAGGCTGTGAAAGGTTTCCTAATGCTGACCTGAGTCAGTAACAGAATTGTCAGTTTCCCTGTTGACCTTTGGCTTTAGATCAGGGGTGTTAAACTCACGGGTCAGATGCGTCACGGGATGGCCCCGCCCGCACCCGGTTTAGTGAAGGGGAAAAATGTCCCAATACGTTACGTGACGCTGCCGTGACGACATGAGTTTGACACTCCTGCTTATATAATTGCTGAATGTCAGAACCCTCCCGTTCCAGTGTAAATCCATCGGGAAGGGAATCCCTGCGGGGGGGGGGGGGGGGACCGTTTGGTATCTCTGCTCCCTGTTTTTCAACTGTCTGAGCAAAGGAGAATGTGGCATCCAGATGGCCAGTTATGCCAAAACTACCTGAAAGTCAGCAGGCACCCAATGCAAGAGATCAGTTCAGAGTTTGAGAGGGAAATGCCCTTCACTTTTGTAGCCTCGGTACTGGCAGGGAGGGAGGGGCAGGGAAGGAGTTGGGGGGGGAGGGAAATGAAATAGGAAAATAGAAATGTCACTGTACAAATCGAAAGGGAGGTTCAAATGCTTTTGTCTGAAGTCCCACTAATGGCCTCACCCACTCCATTTGTCTGGCTCCCAATAGAAAGCAACTGCCAGCCGTGCATATCATGGTTGCCCCTCCTGGCTACTGGCTAGCCCTTGGGTGTGGGGAGAACTAATTCAGCCCTCCTACCCTGCCCTTTTCTGGGATATTTCAGTGCTTCAGCCATTGCGTTAAATAGGCGGTTTTGTACTTGATCTGGAGCTGGCCGTGTGCAGGATGCACATTGGGGGATTTTACTCAGTGAGGGAGGAAATGCAGTTGGGGATGGAAATGGTGGGAGCAACCCTGGTCTTGGGAAGGGGAAGAAGATTGCACTGATGAAATCTCACCCTCCACAGCGGCTGTCGCTTGGACAGCCCTCCTGCCCATAGCCCCAAGAGAGTCCCTTCCTTCCTTCCTTCCTTCCTTCCTTCCTTTCTTCCTTCCTTCCTTCCCTTCCCTCCCCTCCCCTCCCCTCCCCTTCTCTTCCTTCCCCTTTCTCCAGCTGTTTTTTGGAGGACCCTCTGTGGCAGTCTTGAGGAGACAGCTGGAGGAAGCGAGTTCTCATGCGGCATCTGCCCCCTCCCTTCATTTCAGCCCTGAGAGTTGACCAAGGCGGGGAAAGCTGGCAGCCCCCATAAGTGCCTCCCTCTCTCGCGAGAGGCCGTCCCCCAAGGCCTCCCCCACTGCATCACCCTTTCCCTTCCAAGAGCCTCAAAGAGCAAATTATGATAGTCCTTGACAGAAGAAAGGTGTTTTAAGGGCTCTGAAAGAGACACTTAATGCATTTGCCTTCTGCCAGGCTGTCCCTATGCCGTGAGTTGCTCTTAAAGCCTAGTAATCAAGGTGCCTATTCAGAGCTGCCATTTGGGGATCCCTCCACTGGAGCTCGTTGAGGGAAGTGGGGGAGAAGACACAGACGCAGGCGGGGGGCTCCCCCTGCCGCCCTCCTGCAGAGCTGCAGGCCTCCAGCATGGCTGATTGGCCTCTGCCCCAGCGCCAGAGTAAAGGCAGGAAGCGTGCTGAAGGTCCAGAGCCCTTGCGCGTCCCTGGGAAGGCTGCCCAGGGGGCGCTTATTAGGGATGCTGAGGCTTCAACGCTGTGGCCTCCTTTCCGGAAAAGCTTCGAGTGAGAGATTTGGCCATCCGATGTACCACCCGTGATTGACAGACAGACAGACCTTTCTTTGCAAAACCAAGCAAGTGGCTTTTCCCCATTGGTCTCCCGCCTGGGATAAGAGTCGATCAATGGACATTGTGTCTCTGAGGTCTCTTTGAAAAACAATCAAATGGTGCAGATCTGGCCAGGTTTCATGGTTGCTTGGTTCTGCTCAGAACCAAAGATGGGAGAGGGCTTATGCAGGCCATGTAGCCACGTCCCTTCTGGGAAGGCATCCCTGGCCAGCAGTCCTTCCGCTGCCACACATGGCAACTCCACCCGGCTTCTCCCTGGTACCTCCTCTCCTGCTCTCCTCCCAGCTGGAAGCAGCCGAGCCCTAGGCTGCATCAATGGACAGGTAGCATCAAGCTCACGTGGGGGGGATAGCGCTGCTTTAGGCTGCTTTGGTGAGACCACGCTTGGAATGCTACTGCAGACGGTTTTGGTACAAAAAAGATCTTCAGACTAGAAAGAGTGCAGGGAACAGCAACCAAGAGGATTAGGGGCCTGGAGGCTAAACTTCAGGATGAACGGTTGCAGGACCTGGGTATGTCTAACAGAGAGAAGGACTAGAGGGGCTGTCACAGAGGAGGGTGGGGTCAACCTATTCTCCAAAGCACCTGAAGGCAAGACAAGAAACAAGGGGTGGAGGCTTACCAAGGAGAGAAGCAGCCTAGAACCAAGGAGAAATGTCTTGACAATGAGAACAATTAATCTCCAGAAGTGGTGGGTGCTGCATCACTGGACCTTTTCAAGAAGAGCTTGGACAGCCATTTGTCTGGCATGCTATAAGGTCTCCTACTTCAGCAGGGGGTTGGGCTAGAAGACCTCCAAGGTTCCTTCCAACCCACGTTATTCGGTAAGGATGCTCTATGGCACTTTTCTCCAGCCAACATGCTGCTAGTTTTGCAGGTCTCCTGCCAGCGAAGTGCGAAGGTGAGGACAGTTTGCAAAGGGGGAAGAATTCTGCCCATTCCTTGATATGGACACCCAGCTTGTCAGGGCCTCTGAGACAGAAACCTGGCTGGCTTTTGATATCCCACAATGTTCCTGTTCTGTCCTAAAATATGCATTCTGACTAGTGCCCAACAGACAGGCCTAATCTAAGCTTTCTGTCTGCTTTCTCATTTTCAGAGTCAGGGTAAAACAAATTAGCTCACATTAATTGTCTGCACAGCCACCCAAAGCTTTGAGCTGTGATTTATGAGCTCAGAGCAAGCACTCTACAACACATTTTTCTTAATTTATTTTTAATGAGTATCTCAATTAATTTTCCAGGAAACATTTTAATGATGTTGGAGATGAATGTTGTTAAGGCCTGTGCCTTTCAGGCAGCAAAGAGCCTCAGGGGTGGAGTATTTCAGAGGGATCTTGCCAGTCATAAAATGGCGTATGGTTCCTTCTTGAGGCTTGTTTTTGAGGAAAACCCTGGGCTGGTTTCAGGCCAGGTTTTGTTTGTTTCAGAAAGATTTTCCAGAAACCAGAAGGACCTACTAGATCTTGAGAAGAGTGTCTCCTCCTCCTTCAGCAACAGTGAAGTCATCGGAAGTCATTGTCCTAAGTTCCACCAGCAAGTGCTGCTTCAGTGTCCTTGCCACTTAGCCAGGCCTGAAAAACCCTTCCTCCAGAGGCTGCTCGGGTGGTGTTTCATTCATTCATTCATTCGCCACCCACCTCTGACACTGAGCAGCTTACAGCACAAAAATGGCAAGCCTCTACCTCCTGGATTAGGGCCAAGGGAAGCCCCACTTGGGCCTCCCAAGTAAGGGGACTGCAGCTTACCTGGGTTTAATGCCAGGAAAGGTGCCACATTATGTAGGAAAGTTGGTTACAAATCTCTGCACAGCAGAGTGATGCCATAGGAATCAAAGCCCAGAAGCTGCCAAATCAGACATGGTTTCCCGAGGACCATGACAGTCAGAGCCATGGAATGAGGGAGGGGGGCACCACGTCCATCCCCTCCATGCACGTAAGCAGAATATCTAAGCGGTGCCCCCATTTTTGCCTCTAGCCCTCAGGTGACTCTCAGGGCCCCCCCTCTGATTTGCAAGATTGTCTGAGCCGCGGGACCCGCACCCGAGTCTTCGCTGGCTTGTGATTTCCAACAGGCTGACAGTTCTGCTGTGCGTTTGGGTTTGTTCCATACCTTTATTCAGGACTGTATTATTATTTGGATGGACGTTATGCTGGACTTTGGGAGAGGCCCTTGGTTTTCCTTGTCAGATTTACATCCATTGGGCAAACGTTCCTCCTCCTCCTCCTCCCTTTCTCCAGATAGCCTCTGCAGCCCTGCATGGTCGGCTTGCAGCTGTGAATTCAGACGATTTTCAGCCAGTTGGGGAGAAGGTGATGCCATGGTGGGAGCTCTTCTTGTTGCACAGGAAGGAGGAACTTTGGTACTCTCTCCCTCTCACTCGAGAGGCAAGAGGCTCCTCATCTTGATCTCTGGGTGGTGCTATTTCCACAGAGTCCAAGCAAAGCTGCCCTGCCAGAGCAGTTGCAGGTAGCTGTGGAGCAGCTTCAGTACAAGAGGGATGGACGCCTAGGCTGGATGCAAAGCCTGAAATGCGGGCTAGAAGGACAGCATCAGACCCTGGAGATGCTGCTCCAGGAGTGCCAGGCTCTCAAGGCCCAGGTGAGTTTCAGAACTCCCTTCTACCTCCCCCAGGTGCCAGGGCAGCCCCTTATTTCCTCTGCCTCTGTATACTCTACAGCTCCGACAGTCTAAGGCAGTGACCCAGGAGCAGGAAAGGGAACGTGCTCTTCAAATCGAGTGGCACCAGCACATGAGGGAGCAGTTGACGCAAGCAGAGGCTTCTGTCCATATTCTGGAAAGTAGCTTGGATCTCTACAAGAAGAAATACCAAGCTGCTCTGGGCCGAGCTGGTGGACTAGAGCGTCAGGTGCATCATCTGCAAGAAGAGGTGATCATCGCTAGTCAAGTCCTCCCCTAGTGGTGGTGAGAAGCTGAGGCCTTTCTGTCACCATCCTCACCTTAAGCTGCTTCCCTGTAGGCCAGGAGGAAGGCTGCCAGGCGGGCAGAGAAGCCGGACAATCCTTGGAGCAGCGGCCAAGCAGAGAACAGCCTTGGGCAGCTCGGTGCTCGGGAGATTGGCTGGGACATGCAGCTCACAGGCCAGCAAGACCAGACCGCCCAGGAGCTGCAGGAACAATTGGCAGCCAGCCACAGCAAGGTGAGTCTGGCCACAGCGCCTTTCCTTCCGTGGGGGGAACTGCAGCAGGTGTCAAACTTTCAAGTCTGTGGTGGTAAAAGGGCCAAGGATTTGAATCCTGGCTTTCTCACAGAAATCTCAGCGGTGCTTGTCCTGTGTCCCACAGTAGCCTGATCTCCTGTGAGTGTCTTATTTGCACCCAGCTTTGGCTGCTGAGTACGGGACGGGGTTTGCCTTGTCTGGTGGGAAGCTGACATATGCAATAGGCTGGTTGTGCCTCCTGAGAGGAGGAGGAGGAGGAGGAGGAGGCTCCTGAGATGGGCTCTGTCTCAGCTGCTGCAGCAAAAGGAAGCCGTGGCTAGCCTGCGCCGAGAGTTTGCATCCTACAAGTTGACTCACAGCTGCTCAAACACAAAGCACAGAAAGCAGATGGTCAGCCAGGCAATGCTCCATCAGGTGGGTCTTGTACCGATAGTGCTGGTCAGCTGGAGCAAGCGGGCGGGGGGGGGGGGGGGAGGAACCTGCCACAACAGGAGCAAAAACCTACCTCCGTTTGCCTCGGTTGGGCTTGCCTAGAAGCTACAGCAGGCAGGAGAGGTGGGTTTGCAGCAGCAGGCGGAGGCGTACCAGGCTCTGGTGCAAGAACTGAAGCTGCAACTGGCAAGGGAAGCTGAGCAGAACAGCAGGACCTTGAAAGGTAAAGGATCCATCCCGCTCCGGTCCCCTCAGCTGCCCTTCCTGCTGCAGCCAGGGGTCCCAGCTGACTGAACCTCATTTCAGATCTGGCTCGCCTGGAACTGGCTGTGCAGAGCCTGTGCCAGGAGGCAGCAACAGAGCAGAGTCGGCAGCTGCGAGAACAGGTGCAGGCCCTGCTGGAACAAAGCCACCAGCTGTGTGCACAGAAGGAATGGGTGAGTGGCTGCTGATCTGCCCAGGCTGAGGAGGGCTTTGCCAGGGGTACCTCAGTACTCACTCACGCCCCTCCTCTTCTCCATGCCATCCAGAAAGCAGACAGGCCCATTCAAAGGACATGGGCTAATTGCCGCATCTTTTGGGACCAGGCCCATCTCCTGAATGCTGCTGCCTCACAGGAGGCCAAGCAAGGCCGAGCAGCCTCTTGGTCTGGTGGGGTCCCAGTGCTGCAGCTGAGGAGGCCAAAGAAACCGGAAGAGCCCCGGAAGGCTGGTAAGGAGGCTGGCTCCAGGTGTGTCGAGTGCGGTAGAGGACACAATTTGTGGGTTGCTCCTTCCCCCAATCCTTCTTGCCCTCTCACTAGCCAATAGGGAGAAAATGTGTTTCATTCATTTCTCTCATGCCTGGGCCAAGTGCTCCTGAAGCATCAACTGCCAACAGTGGCAGGAATAAGACAAAGCTTCCAAGTCTCAGTCGGTACAAAAAAGCTTAATCCATAATTCTCACCCAATCCAAGCATGCTGGACCATGCAGGGCCCTGCACCTGTCCTACCTGAGCCTTTCCTTGTCCACAGCAGTGGAGATGGCCCAGGACCAGACGGTGAAGAGGGACCTCCAGCTTCAGTGTCTTGGGAAAGATGGCTGCCAGCTGGAGCTTCTCCTTGGAAGAGGCTGTCTAGGTGAAGCAGAGCTGGAGCAGAAAAGGTCTCTTCCCTGGGCTAAAGTAGGCCAGGTTGGGGAGGGGACTTGCCTTTGGGTGGGGGATAACCCATTGCTTTCTTCTTAGCTTCTTGGGAGATGGTCTTCCTGCTGCCGCTGCCACCTCTGCCAGAGAACAGCTAAAGGAGCTGAGCAGGTCCAAGCAGCAACCTTTGCAGGCAGCAGCCATGCTGGAGTTGGAGATGCTGCGGCAGCAGGTGAGCTGCGTGAGGCAGACAGTAACGTGCCCCCCCCCTGCCCCGGTGAGCACCTGCACTGGGGTGGGATTGATGGCCAATTTCCCATGCAGTTACAGGAGACAGAGTGGAGAGTGCAGGCCCTGCAGGCCTGTGTGATGGAGCAGAAAGCAGAGAGCCGTTCTCTGCAAGAGCAGCTGACCAAGCAGACAGCTGTGCTGGGACTGGTGCATGGATGCTTCAGGCAGGCCTGGCTGCAGCTGCAGCATCAGGCAACCGAGGCGAGTGAGCCCAGAGGGCTGATCCCCCATGGCTGGGCAACTCCTGCGTCCTGGCAGTACCAGCAAAGCCATCAAACATCAGCTGATAGAAGGACCAGAGATCTCAAAACCCTTAATTAACAGCTCTGGCTTCTCCACTGCTCCCACACCACCCAGCCTCTCTTCCAACGTGAAAGGTGGGAAGGGTTCTGGAGGGGCCAAGTTTTGCCTGACCTTGCTTGGCAGGAGCAGTGCTGGCAAACAGGCAGGAGGCTGCCAGCTGGCATTGCCTAGAGGACGGGGATGGGGCGAGTGGGGTGGGCCCAGCTGCCCCTTTAGTGCTGGATGCTGCAGTGAGTCTCCGTCCTCCATGGAGAGATTCCAAGCTTCACTAGCTCCTTGCTAGCCAGAAGTTTATCTTCCTAGCTGCGCACACTCCACAATTCCACTATTACTTGCAGCTCAGACTCCCTGCTTTTTCTTCCAGGAACTCCTGGCCCCCAGGAGGGCAACCAGGGACTGGGGAGGGAAATGACCCCCTCAGCTGGCCTCTGGGATGGCCTGTTTCGAGGAGTTCTCCAAAAGGAAGTAACCCTTCCTTGCCTGATGTCCCTTGCACTCCACCTCAAGAGGGCAGAACGGGGAAATGGTGTTGGCCAGTCGAGGTCTTGTTAGTCCTTAAGGGTGGGTGGGAATCAGACCAGAAGCTCTCTGTAGATGGAGCCTCAGCCCTTCATTTCGCTCAGAGGGCGGCGGAAGGGGGATGGCCCTGAGAAGCACGGAGTGCAGATGACTTGCAGGGCCTTTTGAGGGAGCGCTCTGGATCACAGCAGGGCAACCAACCCAGATGGCTCTTTTCTTCACCCAGCAGATAGACGCTTTACAAATCTCCCTGGAGGCATCCCGCGCTGGCCACCACTGGCTGCACCAGGAGAGCGAACTGGTGGTGGCTGATGTGCGCCAGTGGGTAAAGGAGCAAAAGTGAGTGTTGCCCAGTCACCATAGAGGGATGCTTCTGCCGAGTTTGCTATGGGGGTGGGGGTGTCTTTCTCATTTGCTTCCTCAGCAGCCTCCTTTTGTTACAGGCAGATGAATGAGGAGCTGGGCCACAAGCTCCGAATGCAGATCAAGCAAATTGCCCAGCTCACTGGCGAGAGAGAGTGAGTGAGAAAAGCTGCTCTTTGGTGCTGGGGTGTGTGGGGGGGAGCATTTGCAGGATTCCTTCCCCACCCACCCTCCTCCCTTGGTGAAATGAGATCAGGTGCGTGCTTAATTTAGGGTGGACTGAAAAACAGCTATAGGTACCTTGAAGTTCCAGGCACCCTTCCTTTCAAAAGCCTGCAGCGACCATGAGGGTAAGGGTTACTTAACCACTGGGTTCCCTGCACCTCTTCTTCCTCCCACAGCCTTCTGCATCAACTATTGGAGAGGCTGCAAGAGGACAACCAGCAGTTGAAGAACGAAGTCAACGAGAAGCGCATTGTTTGTGAGCGCATTAAGGCGAGTGCCAAGAACCACCAGAGGCTGGCAGGAGAGCAGATGATGCCCAACCACAGCCCACCTCTGATTTCCTTAATTGGCCAAGTAGCAGAGGGAGAGGGAGATTGTGCAAAGCAGGGGTCCCCAACTTCTGGTCCACAGGCCAAAACCAGTCTGTGACTTGTTGGAAACTGGGCCACGCAAATAGTGGGTGAGCACATAAAACCATCCCCTACCCCGGTTGCGCTCCATGGGGCTGGAAAAGTTGGGAAACATACTTTGACCTGCTCCTACGGAACCCTCTTTATTGCAGCTGACTCTTAACACACATTGTTTTGCAGTGGAAGTGAGAGATGGATGGCTTTAGAGGGGGGGGATGGGAGTACTTTAGGGGGAGCAACTTTACAAAAGATGTCTTGGTCCCCCTTAGCCTTATTACTTCCCACTCAGGGGCAGTCTACATCCAAAAAGGGGTTGCAAGGTAACTGGTGGGAGAGAAATGGGTCTCCAGCTCCTGTTTGCATGTAGAAGAGGCAAGTGGACCAGGAGAAATAGAAAGCTGGACTAGGATGGGTTTGGCCTGGTTTCTTGAGAACCAGTAAACTTTGGGTGGTTCTAAACACAAACTTTCTGGTTGCAGGCTCTCCACAAGAGTGATCTGGAGCCGCACGCTGTACTGCAACAACTCTGGCACATACTTCTGTTGTGAACCAGTGCTTCTAGTCCCATTACACTCATCCACCTTTCCAGGGGCCACAGCCAGAGAGGCAGCTCTGAAGATAAACCGTGTCCAGAAGAGCCGGTCTGCAGCCAGCAGTGATCCCTTCCTGCCGACCAGGCTTTGCTATTGAGAAAACTTGTCTCAGTGTCCCATCCGTAGCTGCTATCATGATGTACCACTTCTAGCAGAGCGCCACCCTTGCTTGAAAAAAAAGACCCAACAGCCACCAAAACAGTCCAGGAGCAACACTGTTTATATAAACAATAAAATGATATCCTGATCTCGGCAGCAGAGACAGCGCAAAGCTATATATAATGCAGAGATGTCCATGGCTAGAGGCCAAAGCGAGCTGGGGTATGGCGAGGTGTGGCAAGCTGGCCTTGCTCCTTGCGCCCTGGTGTATAAATCTTTGTGGACCTGCAAAAAGGGGCACAAACGAAAGACTGAAGAGAGCAGACTACGCCAGGCTCGGGACTTCTCCTCTGGAAGAGGAGGCCACCAGGTCATACCTGACGCTGCCCACCGGGTTACAACGCTCCTGTTCTTCTCTGCGAGCACGGAGCTGCTCTTCCGCCAGAGCCATCTCTTCTTCCATGGCAGATGCTTCTTCCTTGGCTCTCCGCCGGCTCTCCTGGAACACAGCAAGCAGCCATGCGAGACTTCATCCATCTTCTTCCATCTTGCTTGACTATGAAATGTGGCCCAACCCAAACACTGCTACACAGACTTGATGTCTGTATCTTGGTTATGAGCAGCGGCATTGAAGAAGTATTTCCAAGCAAGATCTAAAGCTTGCTGAAATCAGAGCCGGCTGGCTTTCTTTCGGAGCCACTAGATGACCCCCACCCCCCCAGCAGCTCATTCTTACCTGACGAGACTTGCCAGCATGCTTGATACTGTAGAACATGGGCCCCAATTCAGCCAGCCATTCCCCGTCCACAGCTGTGACGCACTGCATGTACTCCTGCAGGGTAAAGGCAGAGGGGAGGGAGCCGGTAATGGAGAAGAACGGATCTGCCCACACTTGCCAGCATCATCAGCTGCAGGCCCCCTTCTCCAGAGCATCCGCTCACCTTGGTGGTCATCACCAGTTCATGGTAGACGATATAGTCGGGGGTGTAGCCCATCCCAAAAAGCGAGCTGGTGGGGTGCAAGTGGCAGCGCATCCCTGTGCGGATGTTGACGTATTCCCCGATGCCCTGCAGCAGAGCAGGAAGGTCAGTGTTGCCTGGCCCCAGTTCCCCCACAGGCTTTCCAACTGCTTTAGGAAGTCCACCAGAACAACAGCCAGCAGACACCAGGGGAAAGGAAGGTGGGGGTGGCATGTGGAAAATCTGTAATTAATCCCCCGTGTTGAGATGGGATCCGTGGGGTTTGGAATATGTGGTTCCAGAACATTCCTTCATGGACTGGGTCCTGGTTATCCGAGGGACCACCTGGCAGAGAGGGCCACAGGGTCCATCTGTGAAGGGTCCCAGGAGTTAGGCCTTCTCTGCCACCGTGCCCACTTTATGCAGCATTCTCCCCACCCCCAGCATCCCTCAAGTTAGTTCTATGCCTGTTGATATACAGGGATGCCCTCAAAACCTGGTTGTGTCATCAGACCTGGGTCTCAAGAAACTCAGACCCTTTCTAAGGTGGCTTGTTTGCGCTCCGTGTGTGTGTGTCTGTGTGTGTGTGTGTGTGTGTGTGTGTGGTTTGATTCTTAATGATGAATGTTTATATTTTTATAATTTGTAACAATTTTTTTACATTGTGGTTTATTTTTTTCTGCTACCAAGAGTCACTTCCAATGTATATAAATTTGATTGATTAATTAATAAATAAATAAATTGGAGCTTCCTTGGTGCTCATGCTGGGCAGAATCCAGACCTGGCCTGCATCTCCTGAGGCTCACAAGGAAGTGAATCTGGCTGAGGATGATGAGAAGGAGAATGAGCTCAGCAAGTTGCAAGGCAGCCTTATGGGGTGGAGGATAAAGCCACTACTCCAAATACACAATAGATGGAGGAGCAGGCCGCTACACAAAAGGCCCTGCTCTGCAACCGACAGAAGCAAGTGAGCCATGCAGGGAGCCAAGAATCCCTCACCTTAAGTTTTGCAGCCTGGTGAAAGTAAGCAGCACAGATGCATTTGCGAACCACGTCCCAGTCGGTGCCGCAGGAAGCCAGGCTCATGTGTTGCTGCACCATGATGTCCTTCAGCTGCGCTCGCACTTCGCGCACCTGGAAGGCAAGAGCCAGAGCAGGTTCAGCTCCATTCACGGTCACTCTGCACCTGGAGACTCTTGGGCCGGCCCCAACACCCACCTTGCGCATGGCCTTGGCATGAATGAAGTGCTCATTGCACCAGAGTGTTGAATAACTGTTATTTTTCCACTGCAGATAAACATTCAGGTAAGTCAAGTGGTCGCTCTCGGGAACAGCAAACTTCTCTCGCACCTGGTCGCTTTCTTCCTCCCGACCCTGCAGAGAGACGGCAGAAAGAAACGTGACAGACCAGGAAGTCCATTCCTGAGAGCAAAGACCAAAAGAATCCCTGACCCACCTTTGGCCGGTAAAAAATGGCTGGAACCGAGAGCATAGAGACAATCAGCAGGATCTCAGAACTACAGCCCATATCACAAGAAACTATCAGCATCTTGGAGAGGGCTGGATCGAGGGGAAACTCCACCATCAGACGTCCAGTCGATGTCAGACCACCTGGAGGGACAATGACCTTCTGAGTCAAGCCCCCCCCCCAAAAAAAAGCACAAGTCCCCCACATACGTGAAAAGGGTTGTTCCACCCAACCTGTGTTATCAAGCGCCCCAAGAATCCACAGCTGGTACATTGAGTTGAGCATGTTGTCTTCTGGAGGGGGATCCATAAAGTGGAACTGTAGCAGGTCCTGGACCCCTAAAGACTTGAGAAGCAGGACTACATTGGCCAGATTTGTACGCTGGATCTCAGGGACAGTGGTGGTCAGCAGTTCATTCTTGTAGGCACTCTGGGTGTAGAGTCTGCTCGGAAAAGAGAGCAACCACCTCAGTGGAGCAGCCTTGGCCGCAGCGGGAGATCTGGCAGCTGCAGTGCCCACTCACTGCAAGGAGAACCCTTGGATACGTACAACTCCTACCTGAAACACTGACCTGGGCCTGTCCTTCCAGCTCGGCCAGAGCGCTGATTTGCGTTAGCCTGGCTGATTGGATAGATCTGCAAGGCATCCATGCCAATCCGTGGGTTGAAGACCTGAAACGTAACAAGGAGGGTAAGTCGGAGCTTCATCCCTAGGACCTTATTCTTTTCCTAAGCAAGCTTCCTTACCTTCAGCTTACAGTATCCAGAGTCGATCACAAACATGATCCCATCAACTGTTAACGAGGTTTCTGCTATATTGGTGGCCACAATACACTTCCTGACTCCATCTGGTGCCTGCCAAGAATCCAAATTTCAAGATGCAGCTACCAATCCATCATCAACTGAAATGCTCAGCTTCCCCCAAGGAGAGGGCTGAGATGGTGGCTTTCGATTCCAGCATCTTTGCTTTCAGGAGTCCTATATAAAGGCTTGAATTAGCAACCCCTTTGACTGAAATGGCCTGTATCCACAGCTCCTGGAAAGGCTACTTTCTACTTCCAGGACTCAGATCAGGTTGCTTGCCAACTATTCTATTCATCTTGAGCTTGGGCGAAGCCACGATAGAAGCTTCAAGCTTCCTGTTACCATTGCCAAGTAAATCCGAGATTGTCACTAGTGGAAAGGCAGCAGGCTATATACCTTCTGGAAGATCTTGGCCTGCAAATCTGAGGGTAGCTGAGAGTAGATCGGTAGCACAGCCAGAGCAGGAGCGTTTTCCAGCTCTTCCAGATGTTCCACAATCTGCTCAGATGTAACCTGCAAGATGAGGTGAGCCAAATATATGTGCATTAGGGGGCTGACTAGCATCTTAAAACACTCCCACAGATGGACTCACCTCAATGTCCTCCTGGCCTGGCATGAAAATGAGGATATCTCCAGGGGCGCTGGAAAGGTGGACCTGCAGGGCCTGCTTCACTGCTGCCTCCACATAGTCTTCTTGTGGAGTCTGAAAGAGCAAAAAGGAGTCTGACACACCCATCCAGATGTCACCTGGATGGCCTGGTCTAAGCTTCTGCTTACCCCATACCTTGCTAAAGAGAACGTCAACAGGAAATGTGCGGCCTGGAATGTGGAAGATGGGCACATTTCCAAAGAAAGACGCAAACTTCTCTGCATCCATGGTGGCCGAGGTAACAATCAGCTTGAGATCTGAGCGCCGGGCTACTACCTATGAAAGGACAGGATCGTTGCCAAAGAATGATATGAAAATCCCAAATGACCCTCTTTGCTCATTTTGCATCTTTTTTTTCCTTTTGCCCAATGAAAGTTTCAGAGTGAAAGCATTTGCTTCTCCAGGTATTCCCCACTTCCATTTCCTAACTAAAGAAAATGCCCATCATGGCTACCTATGTAAGAGGTTGCTTCTGCTCAGCTGCATTTTCACAACCCTCATTATAATAAAATGTTGAAATGGGCAGCCATTGAACTTTTAACCAATTGTGCTCACCACTAAACCTGACCCAGCAGCACTTCAAAGAGGCTGGTTGGACTTTAGGAGGAGTTCCTAGTCATTTGTGGAGCAAAGAATCATTCTGAAGATTGTACTAAAACACCCTGATGGAGAAAGACCTAAACAAGGACAAACACCTATTCAGCAGGGACCTTGGAGGTCTTCTAGTCCAAGCCTCTGCTCTGTACCATACTATATTTAAGAAGCAACCCTCAAAACTTGCTTTGAATAAGCCCATTGATATAAAGAAAAGATGCTGCCTATGGGAATGGAAAGGGAAGAAGCCTCACCCCCAGCTGTACAGGGGCTGGAACAAGGGGTTCAGAAGGGACCCTCCCCGAGTTCACCAGCTGTAAAGACACTCAAGACTGTGTTAATGTAACCTTACAATAAAAGAGTAAGCTCATCTGGTCTGCTCTGAAGGAACAGCATCTCTAGAGGTCTCTGGGTTGCCCACCTACAGCAATGCTGTGTATACCTGCTGAATGGATAAAGGCTGTGCGAGATTGGCAATTACAGCTTAAGCAGGTGAAGGACCAGAGTAGGCCCAGGGCCACTTTCATTGA